TGACAGAGTGGTGAACAGAGAAACAGCCTTTCTGAGATTTGGTATCCAGATGGTAGAATATAGCAATGTGAGGAAGAGAAGGAAGGAGGTGGGTCCTCAGGACCCAGAAAAAATGTCAAATAAGAATTGAAGCCTATGGGGGGAACAAAGAGAAACTTCAGTGAAGAAGGAGGTGGCAAGCAGCACTTTATCCCTGAGCCCTGACTCTTAGTGTGGAAAGGGTGGCTCTAACCTGCAGACACAGTGACTGCTGGTGACCATAGGAGCCTCCACAGAGAAATGGAGCAGCGGATGCAGTGGACTGCAGTTGCTGGTGAGTTATTCAAGTTCAGACATCCCCCAGGAGAGGGCAATTAGCTGGTAGCCGTCTCAGAGATGGGCTAACTGAGCTGAAAACTCAGAGGAACTACTGGCTCCATTTAGCAGCTCCCAGCATCTGCATGAGGCAGAAGTGAGGATAAATTGGCAAGAGGTCAAGGAGCAGAGTTTAAGCTGGCAGAGGACACAAAGACTGATGCAAATCTGATTCCAACCTTACAGCCAGACACAAGCCTGAATTTCAGTGTAACTAAAAGTGCAGGCTTGCTGAGATTATCCACTACTTCCTCAAATCTACAGCTGGCTTGCTGGGATTGCTCAACGCAAATCTGGGCTTTGTCTGCCCACTCTGTCAACTAGTGATAACAGACACCCCCTGAAGTGGATTTTTTTTTCTTATTCTTTTTCTTTTTTTGTTTTGCTTTCTTTTTTTCTTGTCTTTATATGAGTGTGAGCAATGCAGTTTTTAATTGTTGTTGTTCTGTTCTTATTTATATTTCTTCTCTTTTCCTCTTGTCTTCTTTACCAGTTTCACAACATTTGTGTAATCTTTTGTACTCCAGCCTTGCTTGTAATCTCTTCCTCTTCCTCTATTTTTCTGTTTTTGCTCCAACCTCTTAAATTTTTTCCCCTGAGGGAGAAAAATCACCATATTGAAGACATATTTATTGCATACAATTTGTGAGTTTGTTTTAGATTTTTGTTATATAACTACAAATATAGTTCAGATGGTTAAAGATAGCAAATCAATAGTTACCACAGTTCTTTATTTTCTAGGCTATATTTGATTATAGGTACTGCTGATTGTACTACTTTAACCCATGTGATATAATTGTTCTAATCAGTTGTGCTTCCTAGTATGCCAGGACCGAGATTGCCTCAGGGTCATAAACAATACTATGAGCCAGTGCCAAAGAACCAGGGACTAGGCCAAATAGGCAGAAACTTCTCATTCACAGTCAATTGAAGAGGTAGGATCTTGCAACACGCTCAAAATCCAAAAGCCAGCTACGACTAGAAGACATCTCTCAGAAATAGTCATTTTCTAAGGTTCCTAAATACTAGTAGGAAAGGTAATTGCTATAAGCACTTTTTAAGCATCAACCCAGGAATTAAACACCAACAAAAAAAAATGAAGACACTTAAGCAAGATGTAATCTCAGACTTCCAGCTCATCAAAGGTAAACCTATGGGGCACTGAGGTGGAACAGTTTGACAGCTACTCACCTGGACTCTGAAATGGTAACAGTGGAAGTAAAGCAGATGAATGAGGCTCACCAAAAAATCAGAAATAATTTCTGAGATTATTTCAAAAATAGCTTCTGAGATCTACAGAGATGGTAACTATAGTGAAAGACATGTTTAGTGATTACAGCACATACAGATTTTTTAAAAAACCAAAACAATTAGAGGAGCTTGGGAAAGTGATGGAAACCAGAATGCCCAGCATAGGAAAGCAATGGAATCCATAAAACAGATTCAGGCAGATATCCAGAAGATTAAAAATTCCATTGACATATACACAGCAGAATGAGCCAGTGTGAAAACAATATCAGATATAGAAGACAAGAATATGCTTGGTGATCATGAAAAGAAAAATCTCTTAAAAATAGCAAGGGACCACAAGAAATCAGTCCAACAATGGCTAGATGAGCAAAGAATAACATAAGATTGATCAGAGTCAAGGAAAAAGGAGATAGCACAAATGACATAAGAAAAACCTATTCACAGAAATAGTGACAGAAAACTTAACCAAAGGAAAAAGAATTTGATACGCAGTTCAGTGAGGCATATAGAACTCTAGTTATGCATAATAAAAAAAATCTTACCCAAGGTATGTAATAGTCAAGCTTCCAGAAATCCCACATGAGAACAGCATTAAAAGCTGTTAGAGGGCTGGGGATTTAGCTCAGTTGTTCCACCACCTGCCTTGCAAGCACAAGGACCCGAGTTTGATCCCTGGTATCAAAAAAAAAAAAAAAAAAAAAAGCTGTTAGAGAAATGAAACAAATTACCTATAAAAGCAAGACCATCAGAATCACAGCAGACTTTGCAATACAAACCTTCAAGTCAGGGAAAGCTTGAAGTATTTCAAGCCCTAAAGGAAAGTAACCTCCAACCCAGATTGATGTACTCTGCAAAAGTATCTTTCAAAATTGATGGAGAAAGAAGATATTTCCATGACAGAGAACACCTGAAGAAATTCATGACCACCAAACCAGCACTCCAGAATGTTCTGAAGGACATTGTAGAAAGAGATAAAAAGAACTACAACTCCATGAACTCCAACAGAATGAATCACTAGGCAAAGGAAGCAGTTGAACAGGAGTGGGAGTGGGAGGTAAAGGGGACCAACAACAGGAAAATAACATGACAAAGATAAGTTATAACCATTAATGTAAATGGTTGCAGTTTACCAATCAAAACAAACAGACGGGCACAGTGGATCAAGAAGCAAGATCCAACAATAATACTACATACAAGAAATACAATTAAAAAAGAAATTCATAGATTGAATATCAAAGGATGGAAAACAATACTCCCACATGACAGGAATTCAGAAAAACAGTAGGGTTAGTATTCTATTTGCAGACAAAGTGGACTTCAAACCAGGACAGATTAAGAGAGACAAAGAAGGTCACTACATCCTTGTAAAGGATACAGTGGATGCGCTAGCAATCATAAATATATATGTACCAAATACTAGTGCACCCAACTATATAAAACAAATATTAACAGACATGAAAAGTCAAAATACCACTAATAAAATTGTACTGGGGGGGCTCAATGCCTAACTGTCACAAATAGATCAACTAGAAAAAAAAATATCAGAACTGAACCAAATATTTCAACAAATGGACTTAGTTGCTGTCTACAGAAGTTCTCCCTCACAACATCAGAATGCACATTCTTCTCAGCTACAAACAGGAAGTTCTCCAAAATAGACCACATACTATCTGATAGAACATATTTAAGTAAATATAAAAGAATAGAAATTATCTCATGCACAAAGGCACTCTTCACTGGATGTTTTAATGTAACTGAAGAGACATCTTTGACTTTGAAAGAGTTCTGGAAGAAGCATTTCAATGTCTTCCACTGCATCATCCTCATTTTTCAAAGCCTGGAAAGATGTCACATACTGAACCTTAAACTCAGCCTAGAGGAACTGGCCAGAATGTGTCACTGAATGTGACTTTGAAGGGTCTGATGCACAGGTAGTAGAGGGGTTTGTGTCCAGGGGCAAGAGTACGGGTCTAGATGTCGATGGTGCAGAAATAGAGGAGCTTCTTGAGGACCATAAGGAGGAGCTGATGACAGAAGAACTTGCTGAACTCCAGAGTAAGCAGCCAAAGGTTGAGGAGCATTCCACTGAGGAAGGGGAATACATGGAGGAGGTTAGTAGTGTGACAAAATCCATTATGGAAAAGTGGAATTAGTTCTAGAATTTCTTTGAGAAGCACCACCCCAACATAGCTGTAATGAACTGAGTGTTGAATCTGAAGTATGATAACATGATCTTACTTCCAGAGGGTTATGCAGCACAGGAGAAAACAAAAAACAAGTGAAATTAGACAGATTTGTCCTCAAAATTTACCTTGCAGCTAAGGTAAAGAAGAGAGGAAGCCCCTGAAAGAGATCTCAATATCTTTATGGAGGGGTACTCTCCCTCCAAATGATAACCACCTCCCCACCCACCTTCCTGTCCTCCACACCAGAAGTCTCCTCAAGCAAGGTTAGTGTTTTCTCTCTTCATACTGTACAGTGTTGTACTTGATTTCTGTTTTTGTGGTTAGAAAACTACATATGATTCAGAAGAGATTAACCATATTTATATTACAACCTTGTGAGAAAATTTGATTCTGCTTGCTGGCAAGTTTGTAGGGGGTCAGAATGGATTAAATTATATATATTGAACTTTATCAGGAAATTTGATTGAGTTTATGACAAGAATCATAGAACAAATTAAGCTCATGAACCGAGGTTCCTATGTATTGCTTCATCACTGAAGCATTTCTGACTCAATGTGATAAAGTATCACTTGAGATTTTTCTCAGTTCATAATAAAAAATGGTGATATTGTGTGAAAACAGAAAAAGTTTCAAGAGTTCTAGGGACAAAAAGAAAAATGTTGCAAGTGTAGGTTTCCTGGATTTCAAATCCTTCCAGGAGTAGAATGTTATTTTTCATCTTGTTATTTTTACTGAAATGCTGATTTCCTTTCTCTGATTGCTGTCACTCACAGTCCCTTTTGTGTACTGTGTTTCCTTCAGGTAACAGCACAAAACCTAACACCACCAAGCCCACTCCTGCTTACCAGGCCTGGCCTGAGGGATCCTTGCTCCATAATGGTCAGACAGAAAGAGCCTCTGGGGACTCCCTTTTGGGGCTGCACAAGGGTCAGGATGGATCCTGTGAAGTGCAGAAAGAACTCCTGAGACCAGGGATAGAGGCTCCAGGGGAGAAGCTTCCTGGGAATAGAAGCCCTGGACATGATGGGGTGGGGTCAGCTGATCGTGCGTGTTCAGAGACTGTGCTTGGGCATGTCTCTTCATGTCCAGCTCCCTATATCTGTGATTCTGATATGCCAGCTGCAGATCCCTCAATCCCTGAAGTAGAAAATTCCTACAAATGCAAGGAATGTGGGAAAGTGTTTAAGAATGAACGCTTACTTATTCAACATAAGTGGATTCACACAGGTGTGAAGCGTTATGAATGTACAGAGTGTGGGAAGTCCTTCCGCAAGAGTACTCACCTCCTCCAGCACCACATTGTCCATACCAGGGAGAGGCCATATATGTGTTTGGAGTGTGACAAAGCCTTTAGCCGGAAATCATATCTTACTCAGCACCAACGTACGCACAGTGGAGAGAAGCCTTATAAGTGCAGTGAATGTGGACAGGCCTTTGCCCACCGCTCCACATTTGTTTTACATAACAGAATGCACACTGGAGAGAAACCCTTTGTGTGCAAGGAGTGTGGCAAAGCCTTTCGAGATAGACGAGCCTTCAATCGTCACAACATCTTCCACACAGGAGAGAAGCCCTATCAGTGCTCAGAGTGTGGCAAGGCCTTCAACCAGCGGTCTTATCTCACGTGGCACCAACAGACTCACAAGGGAGTGAAACCTTTCCAATGCAATGAGTGTGGGAGAGGATTCTGTGAGATCGCAGGCCTCATTCACCACTACGTCATCCACACTGGGGAGAAGCCCTATAAGTGCATAGAGTGCGGGAAGGCCTTCCTCCGTGAGCCACACCTCAAGCAGCACCAGCGCATTCACACTGGGGAGAAACCTTACGTGTGCAGCGAGTGTGGAAAAGCCTTTGCTCACTATTCTACTTTGACCTTGCACAGAAGAGCCCACACTGGAGAAAAACCCTTTGAATGCAAAGAATGTGGGAAAGCCTTCAGCAACCGGAAAGACCTCATTCGCCATGTTAGCATTCACACAGGAGAGAAGCCTTATGAGTGCATGGAATGTGGGAAGGCCTTCAACCGCAGGTCACACCTGATAAGGCACCATCGGATTCACAATGAGGAGAAGCCCTACAAATGCATGGAGTGTGGGAAAACCTTCTCACGGAGCACAAACCTCATTCAGCACTCCAATATTCACACTGGAGATAAGCCGTATAAATGCAATGAATGTGGAAAGGCCTTCAGCCTCAGCTCCTCTCTCCGGTACCATCAGAGGATGCACACAGGAAAAATCACTACTAGTGTCAGAGATGAGGGAAAGCCTTTTACAAGTGTCCAAGCCTCTGTCAACATTGAAGGACTCATACTGGGGAAAAACTTTCTTCCTGTCACCACTGATGAACATCAGTATTCAAGGGAATCATCTAACACAGACTCTGGTCATTCATACCACAGTGAAACTGGGTTAGTGCCATCTGTATTTAAAAAATGTAAATAAGTATTTATCATCTAGAGTCCTGTTTGAAAATGACCCATTCTGCAGTCTTCTACATCTTGAGTATTTGCCCATGAGGATTCAGTGGCCGTTGTGCTCTTAAGAAAGGCCTCAGCCACATATTTCTAGCATATGCTGAAATGTTATCTGAAGGATAGTTTTGTTTGCCTATTTTGTGTTATTAGGGAACGGAACCTAGAGGCTGTGCCCTGAACTACATTCTACCCCACCCACCCCCTTTTTTTGAGACAGGGTCATGCTAAGTCATTAAGTTGCCCGTGCTAGACTTGAATTTTGATCCTCCTGCCTTAGCCTCTTAGTGCTGGGGATTATAGGTCTATGCCACCTTGCCCAGCTCCTAAAAGTCTTATACTTTACCTTTTCCATTTAAAACTGATCCATGATAAGGTAATTTTTGTATTATACGAGGGTTAGATTAAATAAAATTTTTTGTTGTTGAGGAATACAGACATTCCTCATTTAATGACAGAATTCCATTTCTGCAACTAGGTTGTTAAATTAACTGGTTGCTAAATGAATTGTATATAGTATGTATTATGCTCAGAACGAAGTGGTTAAAGAAAATTCCAGCTTGATGACTTTGCTTTTATTTACATAATTCTTACATGTAGTACTGTAATGTGTAGCAACATCAAATACAGTACCATACAACACAATCAGCAAAAGTTAGAATACTGTGTAAACAAGGTATATTGTACAAAAAAAGCACAAACATTGGGGCTTTATAAACAAGATGTACAGAAATGTACTCCCCCAAAAGGATGAGTTGTAAGTCCAGATAACATACCTCCATTGTAAGTCTGAACATTCATCAAACAGGTCTTTAAACAAGGAATATTTACATTCATTTGTTCTAGTACCATTTATTTTAAAGATTCCAAGTGATCCTCCTGCCTTAGTCTCCTGAATAGCTAGGAGGATAAATACCATCTTAGCCAGGTTCATAATACATTTTTAATTTCTTTCATATAATCATTGGTATTAGAGGGAAGTACAATGCCTTTTAAAAGTTGGTCTTGAATATGACTTCCCAGAGCTCATTTATTCTGTCAGTAATTTTTTTTTCTTTTCTGTACCAGGAATTTAATTCAGGACCTTGTGCTTGCAAGGCCACTAAGCTAAATCCACTTAAGCTAAACCCCGGCCCTCTGTCAATAATTTTTATACATTCTTGAGAATTCTCTTCATAAAATTAGTGAACAATGAACCAGTTTTTCATATATATTCCTTTTACTTACTTCTTTTCTGTTGTAGTATAGGATCTTCCATGATGTTGAATAAAATTATAAAAATGAATATACTTACCATGTAATTAGTATTTGTGGAAGACATTCAATGTTGAGCATTACATGTTATAGCTATATGGTTTCACATAGATGTTCTTTATCTAGTTTAGAAATTTTCCACAGTTGCTGAGAGCTTTTGTCAAGGATGAGTGTTTCAGTTATTTAGCCTGTCCCCCTGTAACCTGTTGATATGCTTTGCTTTGACTGAGTGATGAATGTTAATGCATCCTTTTGTCCCTGCAATAAATTTCCCCAATTTTGTTGAAAGGATTTGTATCTGAAATCATGAGTGTTGTTTAACCAAACCTGCAGCTGGAGTTGCTTCACTGTGGTGATGCGATAGTTCCTACAAGAGAAAGTCCTACACAGAAGCAGATGTGGATTTATGGAATGGAGTATGGAAAAACAATCCTGATCTGTGACAAAGGGGCCAAAAGCATGCTGGAGAAAACATACCCACTTTAGTACAAGTTGCTGGGAAAACTGCCTATACACATGCAGAAGATGGATCTAGACCCATATCTCTCACCAAGTACTAAACTAAAATCAAAATAGATCAGAGATCTAAATATCAAACCAATCTGCTGGAAGATAAAATAGGTAAAACTCTTGAAGTAGGATAGGACTTTCTGAAGAGAACCTTAGTTACACAAGAAAACATCAAGAATCAGTGGGATTATGGCCAGGGATTTAGCTCGGTGCCACTTCCTGCCTTGCAAGCACAAGGTCCAATTCGATCCTTGGTACAAGAAAAAAGGAAAGAATGGGATTATATCACATTGTACAACAAAGGAAATAACAATGGGAAAAGAATCTACAGAGGATTAATATCTACAATATATGAAAAAAAAGACCCCTCAAAAATAAAATAAAAAATGGGCAACTGAAATGGATACTTTTCAGAAGTACAAAAGGCCAGTGAATATATGCATACTTATCCACCATCTCTGGCCATAGAAAAATGCAAATTAAAACAACAGATTCCATCTTATTCTAGCAAAAAAAAAAAAAATGGCTATTAACAAAGAATCAAATAAATGCTGGGCAGGCAGGAGGAAAAAAACCCTTCTACCCTGTTGGTGGGAATGTAAACTAGAAAGTCCACTATGGAAATCGGTTTTTCTAGTTTCTAAAACAAGAAAATATTTAACCCAGCTATTCCTCTTGCAGTTATCTTGAAAGAGTTAAAGACATCATATTACAGTGTTAACATGCACATGCATGTGTATAGCAGTACAACTCATAATAATCTTGGAAGCAGCCTATATATCCATTAAGCAGATAGGTAAAGAAAATGTGACATTCATGCTTTGTAGTTACAATGTCATAAGACTAAATTTGAGTCATTTTTCAAAAATGGATACAACTTGAGACCGTAATTTTAAGTGAACTAAATCAGTATAAATTAAAGAGCTAGCCTAGTGAGGTGGTACATGCCTATAAACCCACACCTGGGAGGCTGAGGCAGGAGAATGGCCATGAATTTGAGGCCAGCCTTAACTGTAGTGAGACCCTGTCAATAAACAAAACCTCAGCAAAATAAAAGCTAATAGGAAATAGGGAGATAGGTGTTTTTGTAGCAACAAGAAAGGGAACGATGGAGGAGAGGGTTTGGAGGGGGAGGCCATAGACATAATAAAATCAAGATGTGTCTATACATGTACCAACTCCCAATAGTGAACTGCTCACATGTACTAAGAAAACCCCAGGGTTCTCAGGCCAGGTGTGGTGGCACATACCTATAATCCCAGCATTTGAGTGGCTAAGGCAGGAGGAGAGCTGTGAGTTCAAGGCCGGTCTGAACTACATAGCAAGATCCTGTCTCAAAAAAAAAGATTTACGTGGTTGGGATTTCCCGGAATGGAGTGCTAAGTCCAGGGTTATCAGTCTAAACTATAAGGGATGCTTTTATACAGAGGGCTGCACTTTGGGGTTTATCTAGCATGATTCAGTGCATCCTTACTCCATGTACATAAAAGTTTATAAGAATGTCATGAGGAACTGGAAATTTAAATGACAGTCATCTGCAAGATGCTTAAGTAAATGGTGAAAGTCATCAAGTGGATGAAGACATGGCAACTAACACTTCTGCTTTCATGCAACAGGTGAATTAATTTCCCTAGGGGAAAAAAACACTTGAAATGAAGTCTTACCAGCTGCAACCTGTCTGGTTTGGGATTGCTATCTGCCTCCAAAACCAAGTGGATGTCTTTCGAAAAAAGTCTTCTGCCGCCTGCTTCACAGGTGCAAGGACCTGAGTTCAATCCCCAGTACCAAAAAAGAGAAAAGAAAAAAACAGTCCTTATCATCTCTGAAAAAAAACATATTTGTACATGGTTGGCTTTGGTTTTTGCAAGGGGTAGATAGGTAAGAGTGGAAGGCTCGTTAATCTAGGTCAGTGGTGGTGAACCTGTGGCACATGTGCTGCCATGGGCTGTGTCAGCGCACAAGCCAAGTCTCCTCAGCATCACCCTGGCATTTGAGCATCGAAGAGCAGCATACTTGGAGCAGTGTTGGTACCTTGTGATAAATAAGTGGGTTTTGAATTGCAGTTTGGGCACTTGGTCTTGAAAAGATTTGCATCAGTCACCTAGGTTGTCTGTTCAGATCAGGGATTATAACCCAAAAACCACAGGAGGTGTACTTAACCTCCAGAACTTATTGTTACCTCAACCTGGATTTCATGACAGCCAAAGAAGTAGACAATAACAATAATATATAGCCCCTTGCCTGCCTCAAAAAAAATCCTTGAAATCTTTGAGTGGCAGAGACATGTGAGTGGCAGGCACAAAGTAGTATATACTTTGATATATAGTATGTAGTAGTATATATTTTGATAAGGTTACCACCAGGAAAATCTAATATGTTGTTAAGTGATGAAGGACAGAATATTGATCACATTTCCATAGTATGAACTGAGAGGAGACATTTGTGCCTGAAAGGTATTGGAAATGTTTCTCTGCATGACTAGGGAATATTTGGGGAACATATTGGGGATTTTCAAGCCATGTACCAAAAATTTGTCTACTGAAGTCATGCCATTGATTTGTACATATAAAAGATAAAATACAAGTAATAAATATGACACGAGAAACTTAGCATGTCCTACATGAGCCTATTAGATTGAAACGGAGAGGTTCATTTGGCTCACAGTTTCAGAAGTTACAGCCCATGATCAAAAGCTTTGAATGGAGAAAGGGCAGAATAGGAGCGCCTGGGCAAGGGCATGTTGGCTACATAACTATGTTGCTGCAAGTAAATAGCATGTTGGCTGCAAGAAAAGAGAGAAGGTGGGAGCCAAGGACAGGAGTACAGCTTTCCAGTGACCTGCCTGTAAAGAAATAAGCATCTGTGGTTATTTTTGCCTCTCAAATTCTGTACCTTGATCCAGCATATCTGTCAAGGAGATATGCCAATGACACATGACTAGACCGGTACACTCTTCCCCCTGTAATAAGTACCTTTTTTTGCTATGTCTCCTGGGGGCTGGAGAGACTGCTGGGTTAGTGAGTGCTGGCTTTTTGTGTTTTTGCTTTTTGTCCTTGGTCCGAGTGTTTTACAGGTACCCTTATGAAAGTTCCAGGATGCCATATGACAATGGGGTAGAACAGGATTTAGGCACTTCCTTTACTTTAGGTGGGCAGCACGGTCACTTGTCTGTCTCAGACAACATCATCAGGGATGCCTTCTACAAGATGAGTGAGATAAGGACTTTTCCTCATGCTGCGGTCTGTAGTCACCTGGGAGTATTTAAAATCTGGCACCCAAGCCTCATCCTTAGATTTTGCTTCAATTGGGTTGAGTGGCAAGTTGACATCCCTAGGTCTTGCCAGTTCCAAGAGAGGTGAAGGGATAGGACTAGGTCTATATCATTATCCATGATTTATGACACACATTAAAACACAAGTTCTCTCAACCGCTGCCCACAGCTCAATTGACTGCACCGAACAAGCGAAACTTGGTACATGATGTTTGCAGTGATGCTATTGCTATGAAAGCAGGGGCCCAAATTTAGGAATCAATGAAGTAGAGGGACGTTTAACATTACTATACAATAGCCCCATATGTTTTTTCCGCAGTTAAGATTTAAAATTTCCCAAAGCTGAGAGAGGTAAAGCAGGAGTAACCTGCGGGAGATTTCTGAGGCGTGGCATTGTCTCAAGCAACCAAGGAAATTCGGTGAATCCTCTGTAAGAGGAGCTCGGGGCTCCAACATGGTATTTCATTATCTCTTTTTCTTTTTCTGCTTTATCGGAGGTACAGGGGGTGGGCGACCCGAATAACCAGGAGGTTACCCACCGCCTGGGTAACCGTCAAGCAACCAACTATATTACCCATAACGCTACGCGCAAGCCTTTAGCCAATCACGGCCCAGAGCCGGGCATGTCCTGTCTCTCCTGGCGGAAGGGAGGGACTTCCGGCGTGGGCCTGTGACGTTTCTTTCTGCGTCCAGTCTGTCTGCACAGGCCAGGAACACCTGCACAAGTGGTGACCCTTGCTGCCGATCTCCTGTGAGCCTGGAAGCAAGGATTGTAAGAGCTAGACCCTTTCTCCGTGTGTCTGTGGCCCGGGTCCTTCACTGCAGCAGGGTAGCCTCGCTGGGCTGTGTCCGCCAGGCTGCGCTTTTCCCGAGGCCTGGGCACCTGTCCTCTGCGCTTCTCGCGCGCAGAAGTGGAGTTCGGCCGAGCCTTCGGGAAACATCCTGTGCGCCTCCGCTTCTCACCGCCGGTTCCACCTCTGATGGCGACCGCGAGGATGGACAGGGCTCAGGTGAATAGAGGGTCCTTCAGGCCCTCACTGTCCCAGACTTAGGGGTTCGTGTGTGTTGTGTGCCTCGACTTTTTCCTTTTCTCCTTGAATATAAACTTCTTCGAGTTTCCAAGATCCATGGGACGGGATGTGGAAGAGCTTCAAGGGCACAAATGTATGAACCCTTGGCCATCAGAGTAAATTAGGACTGTTACAGGTACTGCCAGTCTCTAGTCTGATGAGAAAAGAAAACAGCAGTTCATGGCCTGGCCTATAACTGCTTGAAAAGCTAGGGTTTATTTCTGAGGGTGATGGAAGCCATGAAAGTTTCACTGGAGAGATGGAGTTGCTCTGACGCAGTTCTTGTTTGTTTGTTTTGTTTTTGGTACCAGGAATCGAACTCGGGTCCTTGTGCTTGCAAGGAAGGCGGTAGAACTACTGAGCTAAATCCACATCCCTTCTGACGCAGTTCTTAATAGGATTTCCCTAGCTGTAGAGTGGGGATACTGGGAGTTTTGGCTGTGGGTACACAGGAGTCTACTGCACAGTGCTGATGGTGGGTGGCCAGTTGCAGAAGTGAAACGAATGTGTTTTATATGGTCTTTAAATAGGCTGACAAATTTTTCTGAGGAGACCTTGGTATCCTGGCACTCGTAGGCTGAAGGTTCTCTCTCCACTTGAGTCTAGGGGTCTACAAAGAGGGTCTGGTCTCTTCTAGCTCAGTGTCCTGAGTCCAGGGCAGAGTTATACGGAGATGTTCCCTTTCTTGGCTCCAATGGATGAGGAATGGTAGAGTTCATTAGCCCTAGAAACTGACATATGTAAATGCTGTAAGATGGAGTTTGTAGCACTGAAGAAACCAGAGGGCTTAATTTTGTCTGTGGGAAGCAAAGCAGGGATAGACAATAGGCAGGAATGGCAGACTGAAAAACAGAACCTATATTCTGAGTGTGGTGAAAATTATGGAAGATTAGGAGCAGATTTGGAGGGAGATGATTTGATTCCCACATCCAGAGTCTTCCCTGTCTATGAGGTTGAGAACAGACTGGACATTGGCAACGAACCTATTACAATCTTGTTGTCCTAGTCTGTCTCCACCACCAGAGGTGTGAAGTGGAAATAATAGAAGTTTAATATCCATTTTTCAAGTGGGGAGACCGTATTTTGTGATGTGATGGAAAAAAATGTGAAGAATTGTGGATGACTCCAAGGTTTTTCTTGTTTATTTGTAGTGCCTTAGCTGGTGGAATGACGGAAGTGCCATCAATTGAGATGGACAAGTTCCTGGCTGGCGTGATTTTAGTGGTTTTGTTAGGAAGCAGATAGGTGCTGTTTTGTTGAGGAACGTCCAGACACCCTTTTGTTTGTTTGTTTGTTTGTTTGGTTTTTTTTTTGGTACCGGGCATTGAACTCGGGTCCTTGCAATTGCAAGGCAGGCCACCGAACCGCTGAGCTAAATCCCCGACCCTGTTTGTTTGTTTTTGGAGACAGGGTCTCACTATGTAGTTGAGACTGACCTGGAACTCACTATGTAGCCCAGGCTGGTCTTGAACTCACAGCAATCCTCCTGCCTTCACCTCCCGAGTTCTGGGTTTACAGGCATGCGCCACCACACCTGGCTTAGACAACCTTTTGTTGACACACTATATATCAAGGTTTTTCACTCTGGTGAGTGATTCTTTTGAAGAAATTCAAAAGAAGACTCCACAAATAGGGTGTAGCATAGAGCTATGGGAGTGTCAAGATGATGTGTCATTTGTCGGTAAGAAAGATGAAAGAGAGAAAGGGGAACTGGTTCTGTTCTTTTGGTACTTAGGTGGCTGTGGGCCTGTTGTAAAGACAGGTGACTATTTCTGTAACTGTGTGCATAGTGGCCTATTCGGAGAAGGGTTTAGTATGGGCCAAGAGTTTGTCAGTGTTGCTAGTGGTTTAGAGACGAGGGAAGTGTGGTCCTAAGAGTGAAGTGCATGTTGGGAGGAGTGTACACTGACGTCCTCATGACCCTAGTATTGATGGCTTCTGAGACAAAGCTCAGCTGGGTTTGGTTGTGTCTGGCAGGCATCTTCTGGACAAACTTGCATAACTGGTTGGTAGGAGAGTATTTGGGACCCTTCATGACAGACAGAGTTTAGGCAGCACCTCCCCTTGCACTTGCTTGGTTCCTCTGAAGGCTGGACACGGTAGAGAGAGACATAAGGAGACAGCAGGCACTAGTGGTGCTAAGGCCCGCCCTCATCTCTGATTTGGAAATTTTGGGAAGAGGCTGAGCTGGGGTTGCCTGCAGTTGTGTTGAATCGTGGCTTTGGGGAGATGTGCTGCTCATAGGCTCAACTGTCACTGTCTTTCTAGGGCCACGTGACCTTTGAGGATGTGTTCGTGTACTTCTCCCAGGAGGAATGGGAGCTTCTTGAGGAGGCTCAGCGATTCCTTTACCGTGATGTGATGCTGGAGAACTTTGCACTTGTGGCCACACTGGGTAAGACCCTTTCTTAGGTTTCTATCTCTAGTTGGCAAGTTATCCAAAGCTTAATGGCTTAAAATAATAGAGATTATTATCTCTCAATTGAAGCACTTAAATCTCTGGTCACAGTTTGTGTGGGTGCTCTTGGTTCAGAGCTTTCACACTTCCATTCAACGGAGCCAGAGATGTGTTATCTGAGTCCTGTTTTGGGAAGAGTCTACTCACAAGCTTGAGCATCGTCAACTCCTTAGTGTGGATGGCCAGAGGCCTCTCTCAGTCCTGGTCTGGTTATCTTTTCAGCTAACGTGCTTGAGTAAGTAAGCAGGAGAGTGCCCAGGAAAAAAGCTCAGGTTGTGGCTTAATCTTAAAAGTGACATTCCATTTACTTTTTCCACATCTCGTTTCTTAGATATGAGTCAATCAGTGCAGTCTGTAATCAGGGAGTAGGAGGAGGTAGGATCCCTGGTGCCTGTCTTTGAGGTTACCATCCACAGGCTGCCACACTTACTCCCTTTTCTTTGGTGGGGTTCGATCCGCTGCCATCCCCAGGGATAGCTGTTGATGTCCAGCCAAGTCTGTGACCCTTCTCTCCCTTCCTGTTTTTTCTTTCTTGTGTGTGTTTCCAATTGCCAAATGCAGGACCCTACCCACGCTCCACAAGTGCTATTCCATTGAACTACGCTGTTACTCCTCCCTCTCTTGAATTCCCAGAGTAGGTGCTGTGAGTCTAGAGTTGGGCTGTGTGCAGTGTCCTCTCCCTTCCTGAGTCGTCCCCACCAGACTTTCCCAAAGCCTTGTAGGAAATGGTAAGGAGTGGGTAATAGGATTTTTCAACATTATCAATGGATTCTACAGAGCTTGAAGACTCACTCTCTGGTACCATCTTCATGGCTGACACTTGTATTTCCCAGGTTTTATGCTTATTTTCTCCGATATTTCCTGGGGAATGAATATTTATGTGGATTCAAGTTGATCTGGGATCTTGAGTAATAGCCACTGGTGAACATTGCACCCACATAGCCCTTTTGTGTTTTGTTCAGTTTCTCCTCCTAGCACAATAAAATAAGCAAAATCGCTGGAGTGGTATGTGGAGCTTTGTGACCTGACTTGGTTACTGTCAGTGCTGGGAATGTGAATAATGTCTTTGCTGCTTCCTGGAGAGAAGCCACATACATTTGGGCTTGGGTGAAGTCGCTTTTGTTCTGACCCTAATAAAAGCTCCTCTTAGGCCCAGGTCACAGGTTCTTCTTACTGGTTTTCCTGCTGTCCCTAATAAACTCTGTTCTCTGCCCTAGCAGATGTGTCTCTGTCATTCTCTTAGCACCTTGCGGCCAGTTCTCATACACTGGCAGTGGGTATTTGTAGAACAGCTTACAAATCAGACAGAAACCCATGAAAATGGTTAAGAGGAAGGAGGCGTCTTTTTGCCCAAGGAAACAATAGAGAACATCATGCAGTTTTGGTAGACTTACGGAAGCAATTGAAACTCCCAACAATTCCAACCTTTTTTTTTCCCTCCTCCTCCTGTAGAAGGTTGAGGAAGTCCTGCTCTCTAGAGTTGCTGTCAGTACTGAGTGGATTACCTCAGGAGTGGGACCACAGTTGCCCCAGAATAAGGGATATAATGGATGAGTAGGGGCCTCAAAAACAATGCATTACTTACTGTATTTCCCCTAAAATAAGACTGGGTTTTATATTAATTTTTGCTGCAAAAGCTGCACGAGGGCTTCTTTTCAGGGAATTTCTTTTATTTTTTCCATGTATGACAATCTACATTTATTCATGTATAACAATATAAATTTATTTATTCATGCACATAAATCTACATTTATTCAAGTATGATTATGTCATCTTCTGAAACATTGTCATAACATTCTGGAACATTGCCATCATCTCCAAATCCAGAATTTTGGCCTAAATTTCTTGCGACTCCATTTCCTATAGAACCAGTGGCCCTAATCTCTTATGTCCAGCAAAAAAGCTCTCCTTAAATGAGCACTTTTTATCCTTAGAACCTGCTCATGGTCCATTGGCAACACAGCTGTCAGTGATTTTATCCCATGAATTCTTTACCCAAGTCATGACCTCTTGCAGGCTGAGCGTCACAAAGTTTCCACTAAATCAAGTGTTAATTGAAGACCTCCGGAACAGGAGTAGCAATATAAATGATGATAGTTGAGAATGATGGTCCACGCAAAAGCAACAAAAAATTGTAGGCAGAAATTCAGAAAGTGTTTCTTTATTTCACACAAGTGCATTAAGTACATCTGTTACAACATGTGGCATATCAAATTGTGAAGATTTGTATTAGACACAGTCACATCCATTTGTTATCAGTCCTGCACATTATTCATGTGTTGTGTCTGTACTGTGATTGGTCGTTTGGCAATAAGTCTCAAGTTCATCTGTTTAGGTAGGTGTTTACCTCTCATCCAAAGGTGCCTGCTTGGGTATTTAGAAATACTTATTATATTTTATATTATTTATTTAAAGTGTTAAGGTCAATATTTATATTCAATTATATATTAATATTTTATAATTCAATACCCCCATCGTATGTTGAAATGAATGTACTAAATGCATCAGTCTGGCTGATGATCTTAACTGGGGCTTATTTTTGGGTTGAGGCTTATATTACAAATAATCCTGAAAAACATCATGCTAGAGCTTATTTTCCAGTTAGGTCTTATTCGGGAAGATAATGGAATTGTTCTTCAATACCAAGGAGAAAACATTGTTGTGGTAGATACAAGTGCTGAATGTGTGCTAATTCACAGCAACCCTGGGAAGTTATTGATAGATTCCAGGGTAAGGCCAGAGTGAAGGTAGTATTGTTGCATCTGGGAATTGGGAACACATCCCGTTCTGCGTGTGGTACTGATCTCCCTGGCCCCTGGAGACATTTTAGGGATGGTTACTGTAGCTGGAAAGACATTGCAGACCTCATGAGGAATTTCAGCTCATCTTCAGGTAGGAGAGGGAGCCTTGAGGTACAAAGCAGAACGGGATTCTGTTAGCCTTCATGTTCCAATGAGGGTAGTAACTAGAAGACAGTTTAAATTGCCCAGTGGGCTTGCTGAGATTGGAGAAATGATAAAAGAATTAGAATGGGTTGGAATTTTATGACTAGGTCACAGTCCCCCCAGTACCTGTCTGGCTGACGAAGAAGTCAGATGGGGCTTGGAGAATGACTGTCAATCACAGGGAGCTAAATAAAATGAAACCTACCTAACATTACTCAGGCCCTGGGGAAAATTGCCTCCTCTGGCTGTGTGCACACTGCCTGGAGCTGGCTAATGTCTTTTCCAGCCTTTGATTACAAACCAGTTTAAACCAACTCACATTCCCTCAAGAGGGAGGACAGTGGACATTCCAAGTAGTGTCTCAGGGAGTCCACGCGGTCCTCTTTGTTCTGGCATAGTGGTTTGGGACCTCTCTCTGTCCTCACTTCCTACTCCTTTTGTCTGGTTCCATGACATTAATGATATTAAGCTGACTAGTGCAGGTTGTGCCCTTAACCGGACTGACCAGATCCACTCTGCACTCACATGAGGGAATGTGCTGTCCACCCCAATGGGATGAGAAGTTCCTTAGAGTGGTCTGGTGGTCTGGGCAAGACCATGTGATTCCAGGGAAAATGCAAGATCAAGGGCAAACCTTCCCATCTCCGTGTGGTAAAGGTGGACAGGCTTTTCTGTGGTCCTGGATTATTTGCAGGCATTCGTTCCTTGTCTGACTCTAGTCCATTCCCACTGTATTGGCTAATTAAGAAGAGTCACATGTGACTGGAATGGGCCTCAGCAGGAAGCATTTGAAAAGGCAAGGATTGTGAGAGCCCAGGTGTACGCTCTGGACACCTCTGTCAGGTGTGACAACGCAATTAGATGTCACCAGTGCCCCAGATAGCATGAGTTGGGCTTCCCCGTGAAAAAGCAAGGACAAAACTAACTTCTATGTTTACAGTCACGGCTGTAGAAGGGATCTAATGCTAGAAACACCCGTTTAGATGAGCAGTTTTGTACATTGTACAGGTGGAATAACTGACTAGTACTTTGCCAGTCACAATGCAAACTGGCCTACCTAGAAAGGGATGCAGAGCCAGTTTCACCAGCCTCAATCCACAGTTACAGGCTCCTACTCCAAATGAATGGCATTGAATATTTACAACAATGCAATGTCCTCTCCAATAGTTTATTAGCTCCCAAACTGTGATGGTGTTGGCCTTGCTATCAGTGAGCTGCCATTGGCTGTCCCAGGACATTTGATCTCATAAGTACAGGAGCGGGTGGCACCCACACCTAAAGACTCTTCGTGACAGATGGGTCCAGCAGGAGGAGCCCATGTATTGGACTGTGCTGTGGCAGAACCCACCTCTGCTGCCATCTGATTATGGGAGGAAATCCAAGCATCAGTGGTCAGAGCTGCAGGCAGTGGCTGCAGCCATGGCCCGGGCTGTGCTGAAAACTGGGCACTGTGCAGGGACCTCACACCGTGGGTGCACTGTGGCAAGACTATGTCTACAGCTTGAAAGCTTTTCTGGGAAGCCACAGCATGGGGACAGATTGGGAACCTCTGGATGAACCAAGGACAAAAGTGACTGTGTAGCATGTGCTGCCTGGAAAGACACAGGCGGATGCTCGACTGAGGTGCAGGCCTCCTCCCTGGCCGGGGCTGTGGACAGAAAAGTGCTATTGTAGGGTGGGCCATAGCCAAGGGCAAAGCTGCTCTGAAATGGAATGGCTTCTTGGCAGCTGCAGCCCTATGTCAGGTGTACTCACACCTCTGTCCCTGTCATTTCACCCACAAAAAGGAACAGATCTGGCTGTATAGCCCTTATGGAACTGGTGGATTGATTAAATTGGCCCTTTGGAAACAATAACAGGGCATAAATATGCTCTGACCTATGTAGGTAAAGCTACAGGACTTGTGCATGCCTTTCCCAGCAAGAAAACTAACCACACTGCCACTCTGTAAGGCCTTGAGTGGTTGGGTTGTACAAGTACCTGTATGGTGAAGCTGTGCCCAGGCTCCCATTTCACTGGACCTGCTCTCCAGGGTCCGGCCCTTCACAGGCTGTATCATGACACTTCCCACTGTGCTGTAGCCCTCAGGAAGCTGGATGGTAGAGAAAATGAAAAGCTATTAAAACAACAGATATGGGTCCCATTTGGCAAGTCCAGCTTACCCAGAGCTGGCACACCGGCTGTTCATGAGCACCTGAGGGCTCTGGACCCTGTCCTAATAAGCACAATACATGCCCACACCTTATGTCCTAATGCCAGAGTTGATACAGAGAGAGTGCTGCTTGTTTGCAAACTGCAAGCATTAAATTCAGAGGAGGGGACAATTAAGTAGAGGCTCAGTAATTTTCACTCTCTTCACCCTCCCCACAATTGGTTGTTTCTTAGTGCAGTGTGAGGAGGCTGTGGCCCATCTAGCACTGTTGGTCCTATTGGACTCTGGACCTGTGGCTGTGAACTATGCTGAGTGGGCTAAAGGGAGCACCCTGGGGTCTGCTCTCAGCCTCTTGTGTGGATGCCATGTGGCCATTTCTTTTGGAATCACTGAAGAGTCTTGTCCTGTTCACCATGTGTGACCTGCTTTACTGCCTGGGGCCCATCTGCTGCAGTTCTGGTGCTGTCCTGTTGGATGGTACAAGTTTACTTTTATAAGTTCCTGCTAGACATTTATTTTTCTGTTCATAGTTAGCATCTTTTGCCGTTTTTCCTGGAACCTGTTGGTTAACAAGCCTGAGTTAATGCTTTGTGTGGCCCTGTCCCTCCTGTAAGGATCTACTAGGCTGTTGGTTTGGTTTTGGGGGCTCCTTGTCATTTTCATTTGCATAATGAGTCTGTGTCTCTTTTTGTGCTCAAACTTCTGCTGTGGCTGTGGATTCTGTTCACACGCTGGACAAACAGCCTCATGCCACGTCACCTACACAGTGCTAAAACCCCTCTTGGGCTCAGGGCACATTGAGGAAGAGATTGTAAGATTCAATTCTGAGGGGCAGAATGCTGGGATTCAGCTTGAGTGGTCCAGAGCCATCTTGAGTCTTTTTGGCCTTGACACATCCTTCTGCACAGAGCTCACTTGACTCCAGCAGCCCACGGCTGCAGTATCCCTTTAGCAGAGGAGTGAATTAGACACCTTTCCTCTGCCTGTCATAGAGTTCCTCTTTCCTGAGATCTGTACAGATCCAGTGCTGAAAACCGGCCCTTCCTTACACGGATCCTGGCTTCCTCAGCCTTCCAGCAGGCCCGCACACTCTCTCATTATGATAGTGCTTCTGCTTCCCCGCGGATCAACACGCTCTTCACCAGATTTCTTTGCTTTCAGGTTGTCGGTGTGAAGCAGGCAATGAGGAGGCATGTTCTGAGCAGAGCATATCTGTACAAAAAACGTCACAGATCAGAACTGAGTCAGGTCTTTTCTTCCAAAAAGCCCACCCATGTGAGATGTATGATATACTCTTGAAAGCCATTTTGCCCCTAGGTGAATACCAGGGCTCGTATGCTATTCAGAAACTGCACATGTGCGAGCCACATGGGAGAGGATTTTCACTCAGTGCAAACTTTTACCATCACCAGAAGTGGCATTGTGGAAACATTCCCTTTGGAAGAAATGATGGACTGGCCTCATTTGTAAAGAGCTGTACAGCCCATGTGTCAGGGATACCCGTTGTGTGCAGGGAGGCAGGGACTGACTTGCTGGACAACGCTGGCCTCTTCCAACCCCAGACCCCACACAGTGAAACGATTGCACAGAGAAAGAATGAGTGGATGGAGTCTGTCCCAGCCAGCTCCATGGTTGGCCAACCCCAGGAAGACCACGATGGACAGATGATTTTCAATTGCAGCAATGATGGAAAAGGCTTTCTAAATACTCTTCTGTTCATGACAGCCAGACAACTCAGACTGAGTCAAGTACCTTTAGGTGCCTACCATGTGGAAATGTGTTTGAACAGAAGTTAAGTCTTTTCAGTCACAGAGAAATTCACAGTGGAGAAAGAGCTCATGTATGTGGAAAGACCTTCATTCACCTGTCTTACCTCAAAATGCACCAGAATTGTCACACTGGAAAAAGACATTACACGTGCAGGGAATGTGGAAAGACTTTCCTCCGTATAGACACATTTGTTCAGCACCAGAGAGTTCATACTGGAGAGAGGCCTTTTAAGTGCAGCGAGTGTGGCAAAGCTTTCAGCCGTAAAGACACACTTGTTCAACACCAGAGATTTCACACTGGAGAGAGGCCTTACAAATGTAGCGAATGTGGGAAATTCTTTAGCCAAACCTCCCACCTTATTGAGCACTGGAGAATTCATACTGGGGCAAGGCCTTATGAGTGCTCTGAATGTGGGAAATTCTTTAGCCATAAATCCAGCCTCATTAAACATCAGCGAGTTCACACAGGAGCAAGGTCTTACATGTGCGGCAAGTGTGGGAAAGCTTTCAGCTGCAAAGACATACTTGTTCAGCACCAGATAATTCACACTGGAGTGAGGCCTTATGAATGCAGCCAGTGTGGGAAGGCCTTCAGCCGTAAGGACACCCTTGTGAAACACCAGAAAATCCACGCTGGAGAAAGGCCTTATGAGTGTGGTGAATGTGGGAAGTTATTCAGACATAGCTCCAACCTTCTTGTACACCAGAGAGTTCACACTGGGGCAAAGCCTTATGAGTGCAGTGAGTGTGGGAAGTGCTTTAGTCACAACTCCAGCCTAATTCTGCACCAGAGAGTTCACACTGGAGCAAGGCCTTATGTGTGCAGTGAGTGTGGGAAAGCCTACATTAGTAGCTCTCACCTTGTTCAACACAAGAAAGCTCACACCGGAGCAAGGCCTTATGAGCGCGGTGAATGTGGGAAATTCTTTAGTCGCAACTCTGGCCTCATTCTCCATCAGCGTGTTCACACTGGAGAAAAGCCTTACGTCTGCGATGCATGTGGGAAGACCTACAGCAGGAGCTCCCGTCTTGTGCGTCACCACAGAGTTCACCTTGGAGATAGGCCTCACACGCAGTTTTAGTGATCCTTAGCTGCTTCTCTTTAACTTGTTTTGCATAAAATAAGTGACAAGAGAAAGGCCCATGAATGCAGAAAAGTCACCATTTCCTCTTTCTGGCTCACTAGAAGAAAGCTCTGCATGCCCTCTGGAGACAACCTCACAGGTGAATTTGGCCCTTTTTACATCCATCCTGGGGAGACTCCAGTAAGCACCACATATGTGGGAAGTTGTCACGAGATGCGTCAGACTCTCAGTACCACTCAGGGCTCTTGGCAGTTACGTCACTGCCAGTGCCTGTGGTGGAAGCCATCATATGCTGCCAGCTGTGTGTGTTGAGCCCTCTGTTTGCTCAGTGACGGCAGACATCTGCTCCATCTTCTGTTCCCTGTAGGAATCATGAATATTCTGAGCCCACTGAGGGTCCTCATTTCCTTTCTCAGGCTAGGTTCTGAGTGGCCATGATTTAGCTCTGGCATGAAGGATCTGAGCTAGGGTCTGCTGGGGATTTCCAGGAAAGATTCCCCACTGGCATTGTTGACCATGAACACAGTAGTCATCCAAGTCACCCAGCCTTGTAAACTGCCTATTCCTTGATGCAGTTTATACGTCGTAAATGTTATATATTATGTCATCCTTTCCTCTTGGTTCTATGTACTACGTAGAGTGGACTGAGAAAAAAGTAGTCTGCCAATGTGAGGGAGGAGTACCTTTTGTGGCACAAATTTTATTTTCTTGATCACAGGTTGGCCATGAAGAGTTCTCAGTCTAGTTTGGCTTAATGTACACTGTTGTAGGCCTGCTAGAAAAGACTGAAGAGCTTTTTGTGCCTAATTCTCTGACTTGAATGCAAAGATCTCTTGTGAGCCCAATGTTCATTCTGAGGAAGGTATAGCTGGTGTGAAAATCTCCCACGTTTCTGGAAGCAACATGAGTTGACTCCCTAAGTGTCACATAGTCCCTAACACTGTTGAGGGATTACTGTCTCCTAGACCTGTACAGGAGCCAGTCTCTTATATCCAGAGTACCATAGGCAAGTGCCATGGGTTGTAAGACCTACACAGCAAGGTGAGAATCACTGGTACAGAAACAATGAAATAACAGTAGGGGTGACTCTGGCAAACCTTGATTCGTCCTTTAGACAAGACTTTCCACAATGTCCATGTAATTATGGCTGTGTGGGATGAGGATGTACAGAAATTCTCAAAGGCTCCAGACATTGCTGTTTCCTGGGGCCACAGCTACTGTGAGAGTAGAAAAGGTTTGTGGATTTTTGTAGCTCTGTGGGTGTTGACCTTAAGGCATCATTCCTGCTTCTCTGACTCAGAAGAGGCACGGTGCTCCCAGATCTCACCTTCACTCCTGGAAACTGAAGTGGATACAAGCTTTATTGTTCTCCACGTTTTGGTCAGACTGAGGCAAAGGTCACTCTCCTAAATTGAGAGAGGGATACAGTACAGCCAAAGAAGTTGGCACATCTGACTTTCCATGAGGAGTTGTAGATGATTTTCCATACTCAGCTTGAATATTTAGCTCTTAGCAGCTTTATTGAGATAATGATTAACACTCACTACACTACAAATAGGTAAATTATAAGATGTGCACTCTTTCAGCCTGTGTGTACACTTGAAATTGCCCTAGTCAAGATAATGAATGTATCAACAGAAACATAAGATTCCTTGTGTCTCTATAGCTGCACCGGTCTTTCTTATTCCTCCCACATTTACAAACAATTAGAGGCATTTTATATAAAAAAAGAAACCAGGGTATGTACTCTTTTGAGGTTGAGAACTCTAGCTTTTTTCATTAATCATCACTATTTCAAGATTAATCCAGGGCCGGGGATTTAGCTCAGCGGTTCGGTGGCCTGCCTTGCAAGCGCAAGGACCCGAGTTCAATCCCTGGTACCAAAACAAACAAAAAAAAAGAGTAATTCATATTGTTGCGTGAACCAATAGTTTGTTAATTTATATTTGTGAACAGTATTCCATTGTATACCACAGTTAAAATCCATTCAGTTTTTAATAGATTTTTGGATTGTTTCCAATTTTTTACTATTTCGGTGGCCTGCCTTGCAAGCGCAAGGACCCGAGTTCAATCCCTGGTACCAAAACAAACAAAAAAAAAGAGTAATTCATATTGTTGCGTGAACCAATAGTTTGTTAATTTATATTTGTGAACAGTATTCCATTGTATACCACAGTTAAAATCCATTCAGTTTTTAATAGATTTTTGGATTGTTTCCAATTTTTTACTATTATAAAAAAGCTGCTATAAATATTTGTGTTCAAGTTATGAGAGACTAATATTTTATTGCATTGATATGGCACTTTTTAATCTATTCACTGATTGAAAGTCGTATCAGCTGCTTTCAAGATTTGGCGATTATGAATAAATCTACTCCAAACATGTGTGCAGTTTCTGTGTGGACAACTTTTAAACTTTTCAGTTACCTGCCAGGGAGTCCGATTTGCTGGATTATGTATTATGAGTATATTTATGATCATAAGCTGTCTTTTAAAGTGACTATATCACTTTGAACCAGCAATAGATGACAGTTTCAGATTTTAGCCACTCAGATATATGGTTGTTATGTCATTGTTGCTTTAGTTTGCCATTGCCTAATGACAGGTGATGACATCTTTTCATATTCTTTTTAAAGTGTCTTGCAGAGAAGTTTTTTTTTTTTCCCAATTGAGTTTATTGGTACATTTTAGGTATACAGTACAGTTACATTCATTATTGGGATCTTGTACCTTTACATGACAGGTCTTGTTTTTTTGTTTTTGTTTTTGTTTTTATTTTTTTTGAGACAGGGTCTCACTATGTAGTGGAGACTGACCTGGAACTCACTATGTAGCCCAGGCTGGTCTCGAACTCACAGTGATCTTCCTGCTTCAGCCTCCCGAGTGCTGGGATTACAGGCGCGCAGCACCATGCCCAGCACGACAGGTCTTGGTTCTTATTTTTTCCCCTTGTCCCTGCCCTCCCTTCACTTCCTCTTCCCCTCCCCATTTACAAACACTTTATTTCCATTTTTTCATATTTTTTTTCTTTTCCCTTATTACCTTTCCCCTACCCTTCCCACTTTCCCTATACCTTTAGCCCTTTTCTTCCTATTTCACATGTCAATTATCTCATTAGGATCTTATATACTGTTATAGTTTTTCACCCCAGAGAAACTAGTCAGTATTTACACAGGTGTGACTTATTTATTTCACTTAGGCGTGTATCCTCAACAGAGAAGTTTTTAATCAGGTCTATCTTACCCAGTTTTTCTTCCATGGGTTTTCTTTTCCATGTTTTTATTAGCTTTACGCCACTATAACAAAATGGTTGATGTAAAGTCGTTCTGAGTAAAGTAGAGGTTTATTTTGTGAAGCGTTCTGGAGGTTCGTGTCCATGGTCAGGCATCTCTGTTGGTTTGGGCCTCTACTAGATGTGAAATGTCATGGTGGGTGTGTGTATTGGTCACGTCTTGAGCCAAGAAGGGAGAGAAGGAAGAAGGTGTGTGGGGGAGAGTGCTGATACAAAACTTACAGAATCCTTTACAGTAGTGGCTGGTGAGTGGTAGAATAATTGACTGTGAGGAACAAGGATTCATGGGGAAAATTGCATCAAGAAAGATCAGGTCTTTCCAGAGATGTAAGAGAAGAAATGGCCTCACAGAGTCCACTCTCCAGGCCCAGTGTAACTTCAAAACTGATGACTAAATTATGCTCCCTATCTTAATTCCAGTAAGGCACATTTTAAAAGAGTCATGGAATTCCTTAGTTTTTTTTTTTTTTTTTAATAATGTCCACCTGTAACCAAGTTGTTACATGGTAGTGTATTCATTTCTCTAGGAAAAATATGCTGAATAATTAAATGCTTTCATGCTTCATTTTTCAATTTACTGAGCTATTCAGCAGAAAATATAGTTCCTATATTCTGCCTGTCCACTACTGTCCTAATTCCCAATTTTTCTCTCTTTACCATTTCCATTAGTGTCTTATTGTTTAGTGTCTTTCAGATCAAGGACTCTCCTTCAGTAATTGGAGAAACAAGCCGGGTATGGTGGTGCACGCCTATAATCCTAGCACTCGGGAGGCTGAGGCAGGAGGATCACTGTGAGTTCGAGACCAGCCTGGGCTGCAGAGTTAGTTCCAGGTCAATCTCAACTACATAGTGAGACCGTGTCTCAAAAAACCAAAAAAAAAAAAAAAAAAGGAGAAACACACACTGGAAGTATACACGGAGTGAGGAAGCCCGTGGAAGGGACTGCATGTGGAGACGGAAGGGAAGAGAGGGCAGAGGAGAGTAATCAGGGCTGTAGTCCTGAGGGTATGTGTGGATAGTCCCACTGCGCAGGAAAGCAACGTTTATGTATTAGGGGCTGCGGTTTAAAGGATTCTGATGAAGAGTTTTCTGCACTCAGGCAATATTCAAGAAAGGTGAACAAATTTGGCTGTTTATCCCTGTGATTGATGAATATCAAATAGACAAATACGCTTAAGAACACGTGCAACAATGCTGTACATATGCAGAGCAGCTGATAACTTGATTCACAACGCATCCCATGCCTCTGCTGTTGTGCCTGAAACTCTGTGTGCTCTCTGCACATTCTGTGACACAGCCCTGTACCGCTTCCCTCTTCATTTCTACCTTTGTGGCAAGTCTTGGAGTGAAAGGCATGAGTGTGGCGACAGTTCCAGTACAGCCGTGGGTTCAGCTTCATTCTCTCACTTGGACTTAGCTGTCTCTTTCAAACTTCCTGAGATCTTAACTGTTTCCCCCACGTGTCACAGATCTGTTTCCTAAGTATGTTTCTGGATAACTACAGGATCTTTATAAATAGCTCTTGACAATTTGTATTTCAGCATTTTTCATGGATAATTTCGGTTCCCTGTGTAGACAGCATTGCAGTTACAAATGGGATGATAAATCACTTCTCAGCAAGAAAATGAAATTATGGGGTTTCATTTTTTCTTAAAGATGATTCCCTCTGCATATATGCTCGTGCTAAATGACACTCAGTGTCTTGGCAGGAAATTGCATGTGATCAAGGTGCTGTAATTTTTACTTTGAGATTAAAACAACTGGTAAATATCTTAGCCGAGAAGTAATATTATTTGAGTGAAATTGTTTTTCCAGGCTAGGAAAACAGTGACTGACTATACAGCCAGGAAAAAAGATGTTTCTCTGGAATGAAAGACGCATTTTCACCCTTTCAGTGTATTTCAGGGCAACCTATCATCCCTTCTTCTCATTTCATTGCCTGTAGTCTTCTGTCATACACATACTGAAGATTATTAGTGTTTTTTGTTATTATTTTATTGTTGGTGCTGAGGATCAATCCTAGGGCCTCACTCATGTTAATCATGTGCGCTGCCAGAAGGACGGTCCAAACCTCTGAAGCTTAGCTCTCTCTATATATTTCAAAAGTAGCAGGACGATGGACAGGTAACATCTATTAGGAGACCCTGAGTGCCTTCCCAAGGTGTATGTATCCCTTTAGATGTGTGTGGCCTTTGAGAGCTCACCCTGCCTCACAGAGGCCGAAACCATGGGTCTCTTAACATTTCCGTGAATATCCTAAACGTCAGTCCAAGGAAATGCGTGTACGTTGCCTTTAAGAGGAAGCTAGCCACCCTCTGGTCTTTGGAGCTCTGGAACGCCACTTCCCCGATACCGCCCTGGCGCCCTAGGCCTTTCCGAACTAAGGAGTTAGGAGGCTGCGGAGCCCCTTCTGGAGCGGCGGGGAGACTTCGTTACCCAGAAGTCCCTGTGGTGCGCGAGACGACGACTGAGCCAATGGGGGCTTTGGCGGGGTCGTTCAGGTGCCTGCGCTCCGTGAGGGGCGGGGCTTCCGGTGTCCTCCTGGAGCCATCTTGGTTGTCCCGTGGTTTCTTAAAATGTTAAGTTTAGGGAGTGTTTTGCTGTTACTGAAATGACAGAGCGGAAGGCCAGGAGAAGCGGTTTGATTCCCAGTGCCCAGAGGAGGGGATGACGCTCAGCTGAGCCGGTCTGGCGACGGCAGTACCTTTACTCTTGTATCCCCGCTCGGGTTCCCCCCTCGGGCTCGGTTGGCGGAAGCCGCACCCATAAGCTTGGCGCAGGTGGGTGCTGCGACCCCGGCCGCTCCATCCCGAATGCTAAGCTCGGAGGGGCTCCTCAGGTCAGGGCCTGTGTGCAGGACTGAAGGGTCTTGTGGGGGTTCACTGATCGTAGCGATAAGGCGTGGGAGATGCCCCTCCTCATGGACCGGCTTGCGTGAAGGCTGCAGGTGCTACGTAGTCCAGCAGCCCGGAGATGCGGGATATTGGTTAGCTGCGAGAAAGAGCGGTTGGTGGAGTCTCATCTGAATGACATCCATAACATCTGGAAGCTCTGGAGGGCGAATAGGAGGGTGTGTCCCGAGTTAGAAATTGATAGTTGGGGAAAGCAGGATAGGGAATTAAGGCAGGAAGGCTGTTGGAGAGACCACTGCAGTTGACCTGCTGAAATACTTAGGCTTGGGTCTGGACCAGAGTGATGGCAGTGGAGGAGCAGTGTGATGAGATGCTGAATAGACTTGAAAGATAAGAGTCCAGAGGATTTCCTAATGCATCAAATATGACTGCAAGAATAATAAGCCACTGGCTCCCAAGCCAACATCTGAATCCTGTTGGAGAAATGGTATTTTAGAGAGACAGCGACTGAGATTTTTTTTGTTCACAACTCTAATCTTCCAAAACGGCTAAGACCTGGCAGAGGAAGGGTTTTGGCTCATGAATGTAGAAAACGAGGCCTGGATATGGTGAAAAACTGGGCTAGGAAAAAGATAGGTGTAAGGCTGTTTAGGTTTACCACCTGCAAGCTTGCCTGATCCTCAAGGCCACTGTCTGTGGAACAAGAGAAAAATCATCCAGAGTAGTGGAGTAAATGGATTCCCGACCAAGCCACTGCTTTTTCCTCCACTACATCTCAGGGCAAGAGGGGATGATTTAGTATTGTAACCAAGAGACCTTGGCAAGCTCCTTTCAGAGCCAGAGCAGGTCTGGTTGCAGAAAGGACTAGTAGCTGACCTACCTGTTCACGTCCTTCCTACAGCTCATTAACCTAAGGACATATGAAACACTGATGTAAATACGAATTAACCACTGTCCCAGTAAGTATGTACGCATTTGTAACATGTGAAGTTACTTAGGAAGTTAAATTTCTGCAAATAGTTCATAATTGGTTTGACATCACCTCTATTTGCTTATCAAGGGAGATCTGTAAAATCTTAAAATGCTAAAAGTATACACCCAATTTCAATGTCTTACTATTTCGTTTGCACTGAATACATACAAAACAATCATAATATGACTAGCAATACCTGGTATGTAGCGTGTGAGGCTGTTTTACCTGTATGAGCCTTGTGAGGTAGGAACCATTCTTATCCTCTGCAGATGAGTCTCCGGGATATTCTCAATTCTATTTTCAGTTCTTTTCCAGAGCCGTAGATCTGCTAAGAAGCTCTTAAGTGCTGAAGTTTGATGAGCTGTTTATACAGACAGATTGAGATCAGTTTTTTCTAAGGCAGAGTAGAGAAGTGGTGGTCCAGCCTGTGATATTCTAATAGTGGCATATTTCTCATGGTCTCTCTCTTCCCCAGGGTCCACTGATGATGGCAGAAATGGATCCTACACAGGTTAGTAGAGGATTTCCTACCTTATACCACTCTAGTTACCTCCAAGATGGTTTTGTACCCCAGTATAATGAAAGGTGGTGTGTTGAGACTTGTCCTTCTCCCTCTCATGTATGAAGACTAGTTGGTTCCATAGGGCTGTTTCCTATATTTTGTAGTTCTCATTTTTCACAGATGAGTTAAAGTATGCCAACATTGTAGGCACAGGATCCAGAACGTTTAAATGCTTGGAAGTAAGACAGAGGAAACAAAGTCTATGTGTGGTAGGAGTGCAGGCTGTAAGAAGGATGGCTAGAGGCACATAGACACCAGGCCTAGAGTGACCATGAGGCTCTGGGCCTCATCTCGGCTACAGAAGAGTGAAGGAAAAGTAGGCGGTGGTGTGACCTAGATTTTTAGTGTATTGTGAACTAAAATTGTTCACATTTTATGATGTAAGAAGTGAGGATGCTTGGGAGATGAGATGAAAATAGAATTAGGAATATCTTCCTGATTTCTTGTTTGGAAGAGTGGGTAGATGTTCTATCAATTAAGATGGGGGATGTCAGCAATATGAACAACGTTCAGAGGGAATGCAGGATTGAGTTTTGTCCATGCCACAAATATTCCAGATATTCCTGGTGAAGGAGTTCTGGTCAGAGACATCCACAGTATTGTGGCTGGCATGTGGACTAGAATGAAGCTGCGGGTAGAAGTTGGGAGACAGCATCTCTTATGTTACCATGGATGTGGATGCTGTGGAGGAAAGGACACCAGTTGCAGTGTTGCTAACCCTTAATCAGGGTGAGGTGATGGTAGGTGTTGGTGGTGGGTGAGCTTAGTGCAGCTGGGATTTATATGAGGTTTTTTTGTTGTTGTTGTTTTTGTTTTGGTACCTGGGATTGAACTCAGGCCCTTGTGTTTGTGAGGCAGGTGCCAGAACTACTGAGCTAAATCCCTGCCCCCCCCCCTTTTAATTTGATTTATTGGTACATTCTAGGTAGACAGTACAGTTACATTCATTACTGGGATCTTGTGCCTTTACATGCCAGGTGTTTTTGTTTTTTGTTTTTTTTGAAACAGGGTCTCACTATGTAGTTGAGACTGACCTGGGACTCACTATGTAGCCCAGGCTGGTCTCGAACTCACAGCGATCCTCCTGCCTCAGCCTCTCCAGTAGTGCTGGGATTATAGGCGCGTGCCCACCACAACTGGCTTACATGAGGTTTTGATGAGCAAATAGTCCTGACTTTTTTGGACAAGATGTGTGATGCAGAAGCTGGAAACAGCTAGGAGTGAGGTCCCTGCCTAGGTTTAGGCGGCTTTAAAGTGAGAAAAAGGGCAGAGGGGGAGATCTTCAAAGCAGGGTTTTGGGCTGCTCCTGATGTTAGGGTACTTGGGTGTTCTGGGTCAGGACTGGGGCTGAATCAAATGTGCCATGTAGCACCTGGTTTCCATGTGTGGAGTGGCCAGATAGGTAATGGCAATGTGTACCGTGTGGGCTGTGATGGAGGTGTGTTCAGAGTGATGTGCAGGTAGAGGGGTGTGAACGGTTAACTCTGGGCCCTGAGATCAGGCACATAAGGAGTTTGGTTGTCTGGGAAGTAAGATCTGAAGGAGCCCACAGTATTGGCTGGCCAGAGGGGCTGGAGTTTGGCATACATAGCAAGCCTGCAGTTTAGATTGTCCTCTCCTCTCCTCTTGTTTAGATTGTGCTTCCTCCCCTCCCTCCCCTCTCTTCTTTTTTTCTTGTGTACCAGACTCAGGGCTCAAAGAAAATGAGAGAAAAGGCAACAGTTCCACCAGGACTGGTATCTCTGTTCCACATGGGGAAGGTGTAGAGGAGATTGAGCAGTGGATGGTTGTAGAGGAGAAGGACTTAGAACCTAGAGAGAGAAAAATGTAGCAGTGGTTGTACTTGCGAGGTTTCAGTTTATGGATATGAGTGAAAGCGGTGACAAAAAGTTATTTATTCCTTACACTTTCCAAAGGGGATGTACACAGGGTCATATGACAAAAAATTGTCTTGGATAGGAGGCATAATGCAGGAGATATATATGTCTTTCCCTTGTGAGCCCCAGTAAAGACAAAGCAAAGCATGACAGCCTGCTTTAAGTTTGGCTGCTTTGAATAATTCTAGCATACTGGGGGCATGGGAGCTGCCCTGGTTGTCCAGTACCTGCCCCGTGTTGATTTAGGACAAGGAAAATAGTGACTTTGGCTGTGAAAGTTAGATGAGAAGGTCATTCAGAATATGTGCATGTCATGGAACAAACCTACCTCTTAGTTTAGCTCTTTAGTTACTGGATGCCAAATAGATGAATCTAAATCGAAGAAGCATGGTTAGAAAACAAGCTGTGCATTACTGACCTGTCTTCATTGTGGCAGGGCCGTGTAGTCTTTGAGGATGTGGCCGTCTATTTCTCCCAGGAGGAATGGGGGCACCTCAGTGAGGCCCAGAGATTGCTGTACTGTGACGTGATGCTGGAAAACTTGGCACTTTTGTCTTCACTAGGTAAGGCCCTCACACCCACTCAGCGTCCTGGTTGAGCTATGGTTTCCTTGTTACCCAAGGCAGCTCTGTCTTCCCACATTCTGACCAGGGCATAGAGTTCTTCACTGGTTTCCTGGTAGTGTATTATGGGAGCTGTGGAGCTCTGTGCTTTGTACCCCTCTCCCCATTCAGCCCCATCTCTTGCTGCTCTGAGGGCTTGCAAAAAAAAGACTTGAGCCAGAAACATTGAGTTCCTCTAAGAGACCCTAATGCCCTGCCTGTCCCTAGCTAGGTCATTCTGTACATATGTGTGGAAGGTCCATGCTTTAGATGTCCCCTTGTTCTTACTGACATTTTTGGTGTCTTGTGCCAGGAATATCTGCACTGACCTGGTGGTCACCAGTTGGGGGCCACTGGATTGATTCTGCAGGACTTTTCTGTGATGTTGTGATTATAGCATGTGGGATGCCATGGGGTGGTCCCCTGGACATGTTCTTCACTACCTTTCTCTGTCTTTCCCCTTCGAATGACCTCTTCCAACTTCCATTCGAGTCAGTTTGAGTGATAGAGGTCCTGGGTACCTGGGAGAGTGGATATGAATACCAGTGATTGTAATAGGGACTCGCAGGCATGGTCCTGGTGCCAGGGAGTTGGGAAAGGGCATCTTTCTTTTTTCTCTTAAATTCTTTTATTGGTACATTTTAGGTATACAATACATTTACATTTATCACTGGGAGGAAAGGGCATCCTATCAGAGTTTGTTTTTTTTTTTTACATTGGGAACCTTTCCTATACCTGCCATTGTTTGATGCCAAAACCAGTGGCAAACCTCCTTTCTAGCTTTTCTTCCCCACTGTCATTTGTTTAGACAAACGTCTACCCCTGGTCCTACATCTTACCCTCCTCTTCTGTGGCCTCACCTCTCACACAATACTCTCCATTGCTTCCTTGGCGGAGCCTTCTAACACATGGTCTATGCTTATGGTGCAGTGAGCTATGCATGTATCACTCAGTAGTCCTTGGACTCTGTCAGAATTAGATATCTCTGCATCTGGACACCACCTTTTCTTTCTTTCTTTCTTTCTTCTTTTCCCTTCCTCCCTCCCTCCCTCCCTTCCCTCCCCTCACTATGTAGGTCAGGCTGGCCTTGAACTCATTATGTAGCCCACACTGGTCTTGAACTCACAGTGATGCTCCTGCCTCAACCTTCGAGTGCTGGGATTAGAGGCATGTGCCACCATGCCCAGCTGGACACAGCCTTCTGTATACTGCTCCCCAGTCACCAGCAGCCAAAGCCTGGTGAAAGTATTTGCAGAGGAGTGGCATAGGGAGCCTGCTTCTATTTCCCCTGCTGTACCTCTCTTTTTGTCCTTATTCATCACCAAGGCTCTATGCATACCAGGCCCTCCTCTTAATGGCTTTATATCCATCTCCTGGCAGGAAGCCCGTGGACTTAATATGGATAGGTGACACATTTGGGATGAGGATCCTTTCCCACCAAAGTCAACATGTACCTCACTAGCATGTTCTCTTCTTACAGGTTGCTGGCATGGACCTAAGGATGAGGAGGCACCTTCTGAGCAAGGAATTTCTGTAGGAGCATCACAGGTTACCACTCCAAAGCTAGGGTCAACCACTGAGAAGACCCAGCCTAGGGAGACATGTGACCCGCTCCTGAAAGAGATTCTGCGCCTAGCTGAACACAGTAGAACACAAACTGAACAAAAGATGTATCTTTATGAGGCAGACCTTTACCAGCCTCCTAAGCAGAATCTTTCCGGAAGGGACAATTGGAGATTTTTGAAGAACCACTGTGTTCATGTGGCAGAAAGAATTTTCCCAAGCAAGGAGGGGTGGAAAGAATCGCCAGCTACTTCGTGCCTTCTCCAGCACCAGGCCCCTTGCTGTGCGTGGAAGTCCAACAGGGAAACCAAGGGCAGGGAAGCCCTTCCAGCCAGACACAATTACACATGCAGTAAATGTGGAAAAGCCTTCAGATGTAAATACTCACTTGTTGAGCATGAGAAAACTCACACAGGAGAAAGGCCTTATCAGTGTAGCAAATGTGGGAAATTCTTTAGGTATAATGCCAACTTCATGAAACATCAGAGTATTCACAGTGGAGAAAGGACTTACGAGTGTAGAGAATGTGGAAAAGCATTTATGTACAACTATAGACTGATGAGACATGAGAGGGTTCACACTGGAGAAAGGCCTTATGCGTGTGACATTTGTGGGAAATTCTTTAGGTACAGCTCTACCTTCTTTAGACATCAGAGAGTTCACACAGGAGAAAGGCCTTATGAGTGTAATGTATGTGGGAAATTCTTTATGGACAGTTCTACTCTCATTAAACACCAAAGAGTTCACACTGGAGAAAGGCCTTATAAGTGCAGTGAATGTGGGAAGTTTTTTAGGTACAACTCCACTCTCATTAGACATCAGAGAATTCACAGTGGAGAAAGGCCTTATGAGTGCAGCATATGTGGGGAATTCTTTAGGTACAGCTCCAACCTTGTTAAACATTGGAGAAATCACACTGGAGAAAGGCCTTACAAGTGCAGTGAGTGTGGGAAATGCTTTAGGTACCACTGTAGGCTCATTAGACATCATCGAGTTCACACTGGTGAGAGGCCTTATGAGTGTAGTCAGTGTGGGAAATTCTTCCGGTACAACTCCAACCTCATTAAACATTGGAGGAATCATACTGGAGAACGGCCTTATGAGTGCAGGGAGTGTGGGAAAGCCTTTAGCCACAAACATATACTTGTTGAGCACCAGAAGATCCATACTGGAGAGAGACCTTATGAATGCAGTGAATGCCAGAAGGCCTTCATTCGAAAATCCCACCTGGTTCATCACCAGAAAATCCATAATGAAGAGAGGCTGGTGTACTCTGTGAATGTGAGGAATTCTTTAGGTACATCTGCAGCTTCATTAAACAGAGATTTTACCATGGAAAAAATTTACCATTGACTTAACTGGACAGCATTTTTTGAATTTCCATTTTACCTGCAGTTAATCTCCGGAGCTTCTTATCTTGCAGAAGTAAAACTATCCCCCTTAAACAGGAATGCCTCATTTCCTTTCCCTATTGGCCCTGACTACTGCTACTCTACTTTGTAACTAAGAGTTGGACACCTATTGCTATCTTACGGATGAAGTCATACAGTATGCCTTTTCATGACAGGCTTGCTTACTATGTCTAAAGTTCATTTATGTGTAATGTGTCAGAAATCTATTGCTTTTTTTTCAGTGAAATAATATTCCATGGTATATGTATACCATATGTCTCTGGTTAATGGATACTTGGGTAGTTCAAACGCTACACATTTGAGGCCAGCCTGGACTACATAGTAAGTTCAAGGCCAGCCTTAACTACATAGCAAGACCCTGTCTAAAAATCAAAAACTTCAGCAGAGTACTAATCAGTATATGCATGCACTGAACCACCAGAGGACAAGTAAAAAATCTACTGACGGATTAGATTTAACAATTTCCAAGGCATATTCAGAGACCAGAAGAGTTCCGGGTCCAGTCAGTGTGAAGAGAAAAACTTATAATTCAGGAACTATCAAGGAGAGAATGTAAGCCGGGCGCAGTGGTGCAAGCCTTTAATCCCAGCACTCGGGAGGCTGAGGCAGGAGGATCGCTGTGAGTTCGAGACCAGCCTGGGCTACATAGTGAGTTCCAGGTCAGTCTCAACTACATAGTGAGACCCTGTCTCAAAAAAACAAAACAAAAAAGGGAGAGAATGTAGAATGATTATACCATAACGGTACACAGGGAATTAGCTTTGAAATAAATCTGCGATAGTGCCACCTCAAAATGCTTAGAATTGAGATCCCAAAAGATCATATTGTTTCCTACTAACTTAACAATGTAGGAGAAAAAAATCATTTATAGAAATACAAAATTTTTCCATTCTCCAAAAAAGCAAAACTCAATCAATGAATGCAAGTACTAGTATTAGACAAGATAGATTTTTAAAGGAAGGAAAATTACTGTGAAGAGGGTCATGATAGAAATCAACTCATTAAATAGACATAACAGGAAATATTTATTCACTTAATAAAATGACTTCAAAATATCTAAGAAAAAAGGGCCAGGGATTTAGCTCAGTGATGCTTCTGCCTGCCTTGCAAGCACAAAGACCTGAATTTGGTCCCTGATACCAAAAACATAAATATATATATGGAAAAAGTAAGTATACTTTTATATTCAAAGATGTCAAAAATTCTTTTCAAATAACTGATAATCCAAACACAGAAACTCAGGAAACAAAAAACTTATACAATATAATTAGCCATTGCGACCTCTTGACATTTTTAGAACTTTTTACCAAATAGGAGTACAACATGCATTCATTTCAAGTGAATGTGCAACACTTACCAAGTAGCTAATATTTCGGCCAATAAAGCAAGTCTCAGTAAATGTGGATAATTCAACTCATGAGGTGTACATTCTAAAGTGGAATTAAATTGGAAATCTCCAGAAAATAAAGTACTCAAATATACGGAAACTAAACAATATACTTCTAACTACAGCCATGTATCAAAGAAGAAATTTAGATATAAGCTGGCAAGATTTTTAAACAACTAAAATGAAAATAATGTATTAAAAAAATTTTTTTTTGGTTTTTTGAGACAGTCTCACTCTGTAGTTGAGACTGACCTGGAACTCACTGTGTAACCCAGGCTGGTCTCGAACTCACAATGGTCCAGCCTCAGCCTCCCGAGTGCTGGGATTACAGGAGTGAGCCACCATGCCTGGCATAATGTATTAAATTTTGTGGAAGGTTTCAAAAGAAGGATCTCTTTGTGCTAAAAAGTAGCAAAAGAAGAGAAAAGAAATTCAGCAAAAGCTAAGGTCAAAATGGGGGAAAAAACAAAGTAGAAAAAATTAATGAAACCAAGTACTTTAATAAGATCAATAAAATTAATAAGTCAACTGATTAGGAATAAAATAGTAATACTGTATAGATATTAACAGTAAAAGGGGCTGGGGCATGGTGGGTGGTGCACGCCTTTAATCGGCACTGGGAGGACTGAGGCAGTAGGAACGCTGCAAAATTGGAGGCCAGGCTGGGCTGTAAAGTGAATTCAAGACGAGTCTTAATTACATAGTAAGACCCTGTCTCAAAACAAAACAGACAGAAACCGGGAATTTAGCTCAGTGGTTCCAAAGCTTGCCTCGCAAGTGCAAGGTCTTGAGTTCGATCCCCAGTACCAAAAACAAACAAGTAAAACAGGCAAACAAACAAACAAAAAAACAGTATCAGGAATAAGAGTGGGCATCAGTACAGATATTACATACTCCTAATAATTTAATATTTTGAAAACATAAAAGAATCTATCAAAGTTCATTCTATTGGGGGACATATATATTGTGCAAATTTATAAGTTTAAAAAATTCAATTCTGCACCTGAAACGTGTAAATATGTTCATATATTCATAACTTGTATAGCCCTCTATCATGGGCATTAAACTTGTACTTAAAAACTTCCCCACAAAACAAACTCATACAGTCTCACTACTGAATTCTACCAAACATTTAAGGAAGAATTATCAACATTTCCATAAATTCAAAGTAAGGAATATCTCCCAATTTATAAAGATAACATTGCACAGAATACCAAAACCAAACCACATTAAAGAAAATTAGCAACTAACATCCCCCATGAATACAGATGCAAACATTTTAAAAGAAAATAACCAAATTAAATTCAACACTTACCAGCAATACCTAAAAAGAATAATACATCATTACCAAATAGACATTTCCTCAGAAATGCAGGGTTGGTATAACACTGGAAAATCAGTCAATTTAATTTGCCACTAAGAGTAAAGAAAAACACATACAGTATTATGATTACCAGTATCTAAGAAAAAGTCCCCATAAATTTCTATCTTGTATTAACACCTTCATGCAGTTCCCTCCCACCCTTTATCAGAATGAGTCCACATGACCTACAGGTTATCAGAAATGCTCCCTAGCAGGTCCATTGGCTTGGCTCGGCTCCTCTGTGAGTTCTCTCTAGATCACTTGTTTTGGAACTAATTGTCCTCAGTGAAATATTAACAAAAGAGCAAATTACTGAGACTTAGAACAATGTGAATGAATCAAAGTCATTATGAAGAATTAAACCAGTTACACTTGAGTGTATGTTGCATTATTCCGTATTTATAAAATCCAGTGGCAGCAAATCAGTTGTCTGGTGACAGGAGACTATAAAGGGAATCAGGTAACTTTTGAATTCATTAGTGCAAAATGTGCACCAAGTTATGAAACTACACACTACTAATATGTGCAGTGTGTTGCAGAAAATAAATACAGGCAAGTCCTTAGATTTTTCTGTAAATCCTCAAAATAAAGCCCTAGGGGACTGGGGAATTGGCTGTTTCCACCACCTGCCTCGTAAGGGCCTGAGTTCGATCCTCCATATTAAAAAAAAAAATGCCGTAGTGATGGAACACATGTTGATACATATTTATTGAGACAAGAACTCCTGGGTTCAAGGGATCTGTCTTAGCCTCCTGAGTAGATGGCCTTCAGGAGTGTCTCATTTTGCCCAGCTAAGGTGGACTCATTCTTAGGAGGGTCAGATTCCTTGTAGTCTGCTGCAGTCTCCAACTCCCTATCAGTGTCCCTGTACCAATTATGATTTTGACCTGGTCCAAGGATATTTGCCTACCAAATGATAAACTTCAGATTCCAAAGGGTCACGCTCTTCTCAAAAGATTTGGGAAATAAAATACTCTCTGAAAGTAAGGAACTCAATTCAATCTCTCCCGAGACACACTAGTGTCACAACAAATGTCCACTGATCAGGGTGACCTCGATCACACAAATGATTTTGTCATACAGATGCCAAGAATGGGCCCATTACAATCAGTATTGTTAGAAGCTCTTATGCAGCAATGCATGTTGGGCTGACACTGCATGAGAGCTATGTTTTGCCATCCTATCACCTCTTAGACACACACACAGCTTACAAAGTTATCCCTTCACGTTTATGGAGCCCAATTCTGTCTCCAACCCAACCTATACAGAGAAAAGAATATTAGAGTTACAAGGAATATAAAAATTAAAGCATTTGTCACAACACCAGAACAAGATGGGGCAGGCAGTTTTGGATTAGGTACCTTGGAGGATAGACATCCTATCATGAGTGTAGAGATCAGCAATGTCCCTGCAGAAGGGAAATAAGCAGACACAGAATCCTCTTGGCCAAAATTGGATCATACCTATGCTTAAGCCAACTTGGGTGGGGTAGAAAAGAAAAGTATTTGATGGGCTTGGGCTCCTAATGATTTCAAGGAAGAGAACACAGAGGTGTGCCTTTCAAAGCACACCGATGTGCACCAGGCAGGACTCTGCTAGTGCAAAGAAGGTGACTCTGTCAGAGGCAATGGCAGTTAGAGAATTTTGGCAAGGGTTCTAGGTCAGAAAATATAGCACGACCCCAGGAAGCTTCACCTGTAGGTGGCACTCAAGATTTCCTCAGTGCTGGTGTTCACATACGTGAGCTCCATTTCTGGCTGACAGCTGTATACAACTATTGAACTCTACTCTGGCGTTGGTCATCACGGTGAATAAGGAGATGGTACAGTTCCCGCCAACCTAAGGCCTTTCTGCAGTGTGAACTTTCCAGTGCCGGATGAGGGAAGCTCTTTGCCTGAAGGCTTTTCCACATTCACTGCACTTGTATGGTCTTTCTCCAGTGTGAATCCTATGGTGCTGAACAAGTACATGCTTATGGCTAAAGGCTTTCCCACATTCACCGCACACATATGGCTTTTCACCATTGTGAACCCTTTGGTGTGCAATAAGATCAGAGCTTTGGCTGAAGAACTTCCCACATGCAATGCACTCGTAAGGTCTTGTTCCAGTGTGAACACTCCAATGTTTAATGAGTCTGTACTTGTGACCAAAGTATTTCCCACATTCACTGCACTCGTAAGGCTTTTCTCCAGTGTGTACACTCTCATGCTGAACAAGAGTGGATTTGTGGCTGTAGGCTTTCCCACACTCACTGCATTTATATGGCCTTGCTCCAGTGTGGACTCTCTGATGTACAATAAGGTTAGAGCTATGATTAAAAACCTTTCCACAAATGCCACACTCATAAGGCATTTCACCAGTGTGGATCCTTTGGTGCTGAGCAAGTATGGGTTTGCGGCTGAAGGTTTTCCCACATTCACCGCACTCGTACGGCCGTTCTCCAGTGTGGACTCTCTGGTGCTGAACAAGTGAGTCTTTGCGGCTGAAGGCCTTCCCACATTCACTGCACTTGTACTGCCTTCGGCCACTGAGAAAGGCATCTTCCCTGGTGCCGCCGCCATGTGGGTTCCACCTATTGTGAGGGGCCTGGTGCTGGAAAACACTTGAGCTGCTTGATGAGTCCTTACAGCTCTTCCCTGTTATAAAAGGCATTGGTGAGGGCCGTACAGGACAGCTGTTCTGAAGAAAAGTCTTGCCTTCCTCCCTCCTAAAGGATTTCTCTTCACCATGCTGCTTCTGGTGCTGGTGAAGATTTGCACTGAATTGGAACTGTCTCCCATACACTACACCCGTGTATGGTATCTGCCAAGCGTGTGCTTCCTGGTATTCAGCAAAGTGTAAAATGTCTTTCAATACCAGGCTATACATCTTGCAGGAGTGGGCCTTCTGGATAGAAGGGCTTCCCCTAGGACTCCGGATCTGTGACGCTCCTTCTGTAGAAGTACTCTGCTCACGAGGAATCTCCTCATCCTCCACCCCATGCCAATAACCTGAGGCAGAGAAATGCTGGTGAAATGCAAATTGACCATGGTTGGGGGGACTGCCTCAGTACAAATGTGTCTGACACAACTAAGATAATCGGTGACAAGAGGTCAGGATGGGGCCTAAGCTCAAGTGAAGTGAAGTCTGACGTGTAGTAGGTGGCATCTCATGGTCATAAAACAGAGGAGGCCTCGACAGGGAGAGGATATAGAAGTGGGGTACAACACAAGAAGAGGTAGGGTCTCTGGTGAAGTTTTTCTATAATCAGATTCCTTGGGTGCTGGGGACAGGTAAAAGGTGCACAGAGGGGTTACCTTTATGTTCAAGAAAATCAAACTGCTACTGGGTAACTGGTGTTTAAGGACCATGCAGGGTATGTGTATTTCTCATAACACACTGAGTACAGGCCAGTGTTGGACAGCACTGCAGAGAGAGAGAGAGAGAGTGGAGAGGAACAGCTGAGACATGGAGACAGGGAAACAGACAAGTTAGAGGTTCAGGTCAGAGCACAAAAGATGAGAAATGAAGTGTGGCTAATGCTCTTGACACTGAAACAACTATGGGCATAGAGGTTACAGAATAATTACCCACTTGCACTCACCACACCCAGCTAGAATCTCTTCAGCAATGACTGGAGTCATATGCATGCAGGTCTACTGCCCAACTCCAGGGAAGCAACTAGATGGAACATAAAAGATGTATATCCTGGGCCAGGGATTTAGCTCAGTGGTTCTGGTGACTGCTTTGTAAGTGCAAGGACCTGAGTTCGACTCCCAGTACCAAAAAAA